TCGGGCGAAAAAATGGCCGCGGACCACGTGTCACGGGCGGAAAAATGGCTGCGGATCACGTCGGGCGAAAAAATGGCCGCGGACCACGTGTCACGGGCGGAAAAATGGCTGCGGACCATGTCACGGGCGGGAAAATGGCTGCGGATCCTGTTCGTGATCCGATCCAGCGTTCACGAACGGAGGCAAAATTTTGTGACCGGAGCTGTTTGTGACCCGAATTGGTCGTGAACAGAAGCGTTCGTGACCCGAGGCACCACTGTACTTTTCAATGGCTTTTGCCCTGATGTCGTTTTCAAAGAGAGGATTTTTCAGCTACTCAGTTAATAAGCAGTTTTATCTGCGAGGATCTGAGGTTATAAACAATGGTGGCTATGAGACCCGGTCTGAAACTGAGGGGGAGCAAAATAGGGGTCCTGAAGAAAGAAAAATAAACAATATTGCAGGAAAACAAGTTCCAAAATATTTAAGTTTGAAAAACATTTACCTCAGAATACGCAGAATGGTAGAGAAATGATTCTCAGTGAGAAACCTCTGAGGATTCTCCTGAGGTAAAATATCCTCCTGAGCAAAGGGGATCCTTTGTAAAGGAGGAATAAGAGAAAGACAAGGGACTGCTAAGTATTCCAACACTAATTTAAAGTTCTTCTTTTCAAAAGAAAGAACCGAATCAAAGGAAAAATATTTGCCAATGGCGTTCCAAGTAGAACAGAAAAAGTAGGAAATAGCACCAATCTGAAGAAATTCACCTTCCTTTGAGACATACAGAAGATATTTATTTATACATTTTATACAATGTACAGGCTGCTTAATGACAGCAACACACAACACACTCTATGGGATTTGATTATCGTTTGTCTTTTTTTCCCCCCTTATGTTTGAAAAAGCAAAGAAATGCTAAAAAAATCTGGCCATCTGGTCTGGGGATCTGGTGATTTGGTGCAGAGCCTTCAAAGTTAGGAAGTTACTGTTAGGAAATGAATGGTGCTCTCCTACAGATCATGTTTTTAACAGTTTTAATAGCTGGTCTGGGGATCTGGTGATTTGGTGCAGAGCCTTCAAAGTTAGGAAGTTACTGTTAGGAAATGAATGGTGCTCTCCTACAGATCATGTTTTTAACAGTTTTAATAGTTATTGTTTTTATTTCTCTTGGGGGGGTTAACTTTGCAAGCATCCAGAGTTATGGAAGTGAGATTGGCAGCTACATAAATTTAATAAATACATTTATATCCTCCATTGTCACTGCCTTTGGAGAGAGTAGCTACAATGAGGAGATCTGGGAGCGAATTGGAGGGAAAGCTGCTGATTGGACAGCCACAACTCCTGAGAATCCAGCCAATTAGAGAGTAGAGCCCAAGGACAAGGAGTTCCATTCCTGTAAGAAATGGTGGGGCACCAACAGTGCCCTCTTGAGTCACCTTAAAGAATGAGCTATTGGTTTCCTTGCAGAACTTGACACTTTACATACAATGGAAGCTGCTTTCGGCTCAAAAGCTATGGGGCAAAAAGAAAATT